GTCTGTAGATCAGTTCACAAGCACAGGAACCTCCCTGTAGCATTTGTGGTGAGGAGCATCCTCTGCAGATTTTGGTGATGGAGCCACTGCTGAAGAACTGACTCCACCTGAGCAGCTGCGGGTCCCAGCACATGTGTTTCTCCCTGTCCTTCCTTCTCTGGCACACGCCTCTGCTGGCAGCTGGATTCAGCAGCTGCTGTGCTCCTCTGGAGAGGTCTCCTGTTCCTTCAACAGGGGAACTTTTTGCCACCAACTTTTTACCTGGTGTTTTAGGGTGACCAGGTAATATCTGCAGGGTGAAATTTGGGAAGCCAGAGCAAAGCTGGAATGATCTCCCACAACTGGCTGGTTGTATTTGTTTTTAAGCTAGTTACACTTTTTCATGGGGCCTTCTGTGGTTCTCGCGTTGTCTCTGGCTGCTGGAACTCAGAGGTCTCCCAAAATCTGGCCTGCTTTGTGCACTCTCAGGTAACCTTAAGGTGACTGTCTTCTTCCTTTCGCTGCCAGTGTTGGCTCTTGCCTTGTTTTAGGGACAGAATTCTTAATTTACAGCCCTGAAGCACTGCACAGCGTTTTGGAGATGCTTTCCAATGCTTAAAACTGCTTTGTCTGGAGTTGGCAGGGCCCTCGTTAACCCCCGTCACCCGAGGCTTTGTGTTTGGCTCTGTTCCCTTTGCTGAGAAGTAGCAGCGATGTGGAAATCGAAGGCCTTTTATAATGCCAGACAGCCTTTGCCAGGCTACAGGGATGTCACTAGTGTCTAAAGAGATGACATGGGGAAATACATAAAACCGGAGGGGAAAATAGATGTCTGCGTCTCATTAATTTTAGTTTTAATGGTGTGTTGCTTTGAGGAGATGTCACAGCTGGGCAAAGGGGGAGCAGGACACTGTGGCCAGCATGTATTGCATCAGTCAGACCATTGGGCAGCATTACAGAAGTGACTGGAACTTAACACAGGTCCTGGCTGCTTCTTTTTATCATTTTTGGTTAATGGACAAACTTCATATCACTCACAAGGTGAGAAAAACTCTGTTAATTATATGAAAGCTTCTGCCAGGTTTTCAGGTGGGAAAAGGTTGGGAGATCTTGGGTTTTTTCGTCTTGAAAACAATCATAGAGTCACAGAGTGGTTTGGGTTGGAAGGGACCTTAAAGATCATCCAGTTCCACCCCCCCTGCCATGGGCAGGGACACCTTCCTCTAGACCAGGTTGCTCCAAGCCTCGTCCAGCCTGGCCTTGAACACTCTCAGGGATGGGGCATCCACACCTTCTCTGGGCAGCCTGTTCCAGTGCCTCACCACCCTCTTTGGGAAGAATTTCTTCCTGATATCCAATCTAAACCTCCCCACTTTCCATTTAAATGAACCACCCTGCTAAGGTTTTCTGGAAGGTGGTTTAATACTGGGGAGCAGTTACAGGCTGGAACTCTGACTTGTGTCATTCCTAGGATGGAGCTTTCTCACTGCTGAAGCACTTGCAGGGAAAACTTGCTCCTCACCTGATGAGCTGTCTTAGAAACTGGAAATTCTCTGTCTTCTGCGTTGGTGCTACAGCTACAAGTCCCTAGTCAGGTCTAGCGCAGCATGCCCACCACCGCTTGGCGTACTTGAGGGAGCAGGTGGAAAGAACAAGAGACAGCAGCAAGTAGGAAGATGATGTAACTGAGAAATGCGGGATCACTATGTTGTCTCAGGTTGTTGGGTTTGGTGAAGGCATTCAGTCAGGAAATACTTGGTGCTTCTAGCTGTCCTTCCAGCTTCTGAAAGCATTATTTGCTGTCACTTAATTTACTTGCCCAAAACGGGAAGTATGCAGGAGCAGAGCCCCAGAGACACAGGAGTGTCACTGATTCCCAGCACCTCAAAGTCCTCATCGACCACTGAATCATGAGGATAATGGGGAATGGAGGGTGTAAATGAAGATTATTCGCAATTATATAGGATTTGGAACCGCTTTGTTTCAGCGGAGGTCCTGCCTAAATTAGGAGTTTGTAGTAGGAGAGTTCTTTCTTCTGTCTGGGATAGGTGCAGGCTACCAGCATGAAATACCGAGCGCTGTTTAAATCAAGCTCATGCTTCAAAATGAAAAGCTATACGAATATAATAATCAAATATTTCCCTCAGTACAGTGTCACAGGACTAAAATTCCTCTCGAAATAACTGAACATTCAGTAACCGTCTAACCCTGTGTCTCTGCATCATCCCTCTCCAAAGCTCTTTGTTGCAGGGGATTATTTCATGCCATCTTTGTCTAATGAGTTTCTGTGTTTAGGGAAGCCAACAAGGCTTTGCCAGTGAAAGCATCAAGTGGCTCCCTCTCTGATGTGGCGGGTTTTTTTAACGCTCAACATATTTGTAGCAATTCTTCTATTCCTCTCCAGAATGGATGCACAGTTACCCTCAGTGTTTACACTGTAAGGTTATCCCTTTAAAGAATTCCTGAGGGAAGTTCAAAAGGGTTTTTTTTTTTCTTTGAAAGATTCAGTGTCTCTTTTTGTGTGTATGTCTCTTACTTGAAAGAAGGGAGAGGGAGGGGGGGAATGGTGAAAAAAAGTGCTTTATCTGAAAAGAATCACATCAGCTTCGCACTGATAGAAGCCGCTGTCATCTCTTAAACGGCTTAGCACAGTCAAAAGGCAAGAGGACTTAAAACAGTGTCTTACACAGGGATCGATGGGTGGAACACATAACTCCTAACTGCAAAAAAAAAAAAGAAGCACGGGGGGAGAGATAACGGTAATGATTGCATTGAGGGAAGCTTGAGGGAGGCTTGTTCTTTGTAACACAGCTTCAAAGGTGTCTGGACCGGTGCCTGAGCAAACTGTCCTGTGAAGTCGCTGCCTCTGTAGGTCTGGGCGAGGCGGGGGGGGATGCTCGCACCCTTCTGCTTCTTAGCAGATGGGACAGAGATTAGTAAATGCCAGGTTAGCGGCTCCCTTGTGCTGCTTTGGATTTGGGGAGAGGATTTTGTCACTTGGTCTCTCGTCGTCC